ATATATCTCCCGCCTATTTTATTTGCCTTTATGGTGTAATGCATGATTCAGTGCAGGTTTATAACCATAGTTCTGGCCAGCACAGACAATTAACTTTAAATTCAACTTTAAATGTCCTTGGTGTTTTGCATTTTTTTTAAAGTTTAAAAAATGTGTGTTAATACATAGTTTCATCTATTTATTTAATGACACACTGCCATTCAGTGTTTTAAACTGCATGTATCTAAAAGATAATACAGTGTTGCCCCACATAGCGATGATAATCCGTTCTGGAAAAATCGTCGCTATATGGATTCGTCGCTATGCGGAACAAAGAAGCCCATAGGAATGCATTAAAACATGTTTAATGCGTTCCTATGGGCAAAAAACTCACAGTTCTGCGAAAATCCTCCATGCGGCCGCCATTTTTGCTGCCCGGTAAGTGAGGAATCCGGGCAAAAACACAGCGGGCGGCCATTTTATTTACGCGGCGGCCATTTTGGAACCGCTGATCAGCTGTTCTTAAAACATCGCTATGCGAAAATCAGTAAGCGAAACGCTTACTGATCATCACAAAGCGATGTTTTACCATTTAAAACATCGCAATGCGATCGCAGCTGCATAGTTCCAGGGCACCCCCAGAAGAAGGGAACGGCAAACCACTTCTGTGCATTGTAAGTCAGTATGTTATATGTTTCCATGACTAACATGCTACAAGTGAGAAGTACTGCACACCAGACAATGAAGACACATCTGCTGCTTGATGTCTGCTATTCTTTCTTGTAACACTTCCCTTCCCCCCTCCCAACTCCAGCTGTCCTATGGAAACTTTTTTTTAACAGAATGTCTTTTACGGGTCCATAGCCCTTCAAGACAGTTAGACCTTCAAAGACCATACTCTCTTTTCCAAAATAACTGCATAACAGAACTGGGTGATAAAAGCATGTTTTCAAGCTAATTGCAAACAGTGTTAATGATAAAAACAGACTTAAATTTAGTGTACTGTGCTTATAGGAAAGTCTGACAAATATCCACCTTTTAACTTTCTGTCCCAATCTTTTGAGGCAGCTGGTTATTGACACAAAATTTTGATAATTAAAAAATTATAGCTCTGTTCCCTCTTAAAGTTATGGAATAATACACTCAAATATTGTTCTTCCATGGAAAACTAAAATAGTTCTATGACTTGATTAATTAAACATCATTTATCTGTGTTACAGTTTTTAGGATGGAATTCCATTGGGACTGCTCTTCACATTATTTACATGCACAGGCACAGATGTATTCCTGGCAACTGCAATCATATGATATACTCACTACTGCATCTCACTACTCTAGGACAGTGGTCCCCAACTGTGGGCCTCCAGATGTTCTTGGACTACAACTCCCAGAAGCCTTCACCGCCAGCTCTGCTGGCAAGTATTTCTAGGAGTTGAAGTCCAAGAACATCTGGAGGCCCAAGGTTGGGAACCACTGCAGTCTAGGAAGTACAGGAAGACCCAGGGGCCATATTTCCAGGCTTCAAGCCCCACCACAAACTGCACCACATCTAAAAATAAGCCAAAACATTTAACAGTCAAAATATGAAGTGACTAAATGTTTACTTCCAGGTTTGCTAGGGGGGCCTTCAACCTCTACATGCTAATTCCTAGAGGCTTATGGAAGTGGAAAAACACATTTTTGGGCCATTTTTTTCTGGATTGGGGACTGCACTTTGCCCACTCCGGCCTTAAAAATGCTGAGTGGAGATACAAACCCTCTTCTCCAGATTCCATTTTGGGTCACTCTATCAACTATACTGCACTGGAAATCGAACTAGTTACTTGCTCACAATTAGAAAAGCTTCAAATAGCTGTGATGTAGAAAGTCAAATGTTGCATTTCCTTTGCATATAATTATCCTCTGAAGTTTTTATTCACACAGATAATTGTAGACAAATTATTGCTAGCACAGTGAAAAACAGAACCGATGTGCGTACTATAGTCTTAACAAACAAGGAAAATGGAAGACAAAGAAGGGTATCAGTTCTGACCTGTGCCCTCCAGCCTGCTGAAAGATGACATTTCCAGATTTAGACAGCTGTATTTTTAGTAGCTCATGTAGCAGACGTAAGTTTCAGATTATACTTCTACAATATCAGCAAAATTCGTTTTACGAATATAAAACAAGAAATAATCCATCAAATGTTTATCTGTGTGTACATCAGACTTTTCAACATTACATGTCTGTTCTAGATAATGACAAAACAAAAGCACTATCTAGATTTTACAGTTCTGCAAATATACCTCAGTAAAAATTAAAGTACCAAACTGGTAAAGACATAGTAAATACTTACAGTAGTATTTACAGCTGGATCTTGCATCTCATATGCACCATGGTTTCCATTTGTAATGTCACAAATGAAATAGTCATTATCAGAAGGAGGCCTGAATGTGTGACCACCATCACAATGAATTTCTGGATTGATTCCACAACCAAATGTGAAAGAGGCAAGTGAATGATAATGTGTAAGAAGCACTACAGCATGGATCAGTTCTGCCAGGGACCAGCTATGCTCTTCAGTCTTGAGAAGATGCTTCATAGAAGAAAAGATTTAAACATTGTTTCAGTCTCAGAAACTTCACTAAAGTAAATTCACATATTTGAGGTCATTTTTGAAGCAAAAATATAATGTGACATTAAATGTCCAGAGACAAATTAGCCATTAATACAACAATGCCAGTAAGGCAGTGAGTGAAATGCATCCAAACAGGCACACACTGAAGTTCCAGATGGGATAAAGTTGGTCTTTTTCTAGTTTGGTATCATGACAGTAAAAAATAAAGATGGAACACAGTTTTTAAAAGTTTTGTTTTGATAGGTGAAAGAAAACAGATGGTTAATTTCAGAATTTAAATGAGGAAAGGCTTACATATTTTTGAAGCAGTCTGTATTATATCCCTGAATGACCCTTCGTCGCCATCATCATCATTGTGTGACCAGAATATGAATCAGGTTAAGAAACTTTATACATCCACTTGAAAGTTATACATCAAGACTGTCATGTACCTAGCACTATGCTCTGTTCAATAAAAAGCTCTTTGGGTATTTTGGTAGGGAACTGCATTGTCAAATAAGAACATGATTCAGCACAAATATGTAATGCTTATGCTTCTATGAAGATAACTGAAGTATTTTAGCATCTTGTGATACCGCATATATTAGCAAATATTTAACATTACAGATTAAAAGACTATTGGCCATTAAAGAACGCCATATGGAAAACAAAAAATAAAACAAAGGTAAGTATATATTTTAGAAACATACTTCAATATGTTCTTTGGTAATGAGCCATGGTCTGTGTGCCAAGATTTTATTTAATTCACCCAAATTCTGCAGTTTTTGAGGTGCATTCTCGAGACCATTCAGCCACTTAGGATCTCCCCCAACATGCAAAAAGTAGTTGACATGAAGGTTAACCAAATAGGAGCACTGATGTCGCGCTGCAGCCTGGAGGAAAAAATAGCAACATACATACAAGTACTACCAAATGCAGAAACATTTTCTGAGGTGAAGCTCCTTGAATGAACAACATGGCATATATAGGACAGTTGTGTGTTCAAACAATGCATGTAAACATTTTATATACACTTATGAATTTAAAATATTTCTAGCCCACCTTTCTCATTAAAAGGAACCCAAGGTGGTTTACATATATATAAATATTTGTACAGTACTTGTTTAGTAATCTATTTTGCATAGAGTTAGTATCTAAAGAAAGTTGTAAAGCATGTAATACAACAATGAGCTGGTCCGGTCATCACCATAAATGGAACCATTCTTTTGCATGGTGCTGATACATCCTTCCTGATCACTCCTGCTACAAGTGGGAACAGCTAAACCAGGGAAAGAGAAAGGATACCCCCTCTTTGCAAAAGAGAGTTACCACTCCAGTTTTTGTATAAGCCAATCAGGAGGGTAAGCCCTCTAAACCAAAATTCAAAATCAGAAGTAGATGATCTAAGAACACCCCCACACTTCCCAGCACTCCCAGCCACAGTTAAGGATTTTAAAGCTAATCCTTGATCTCCCATATCATGGGTGGTTTGGAGCTAAATACTGAGTAAGTATGAATACAGTGGTAATATTGGGGGCAAATAAAAACAGCTAGAACAGCTTAAACCATTCCAGTCATTCCATTCTGTTTATAATACAGGCTGGCCAGAATCCAGATTCCACATAAAGAGGAGAAAGCATGCATGTCTTGATGGCAAACCGCCACTTGTTAACAAGATGCTAGTTGCATTCCTGGGCATGCACCCAATTGTGTGATTAAGTACATGCCCAGGAATTCAAGCAGCACCTTGTGAGTGACAATCCGCTGCTGCAATTTACGAAGTTTCCCTTATGCATGTGCAAGCTGAAAACAGGATTATGGCCAATGGCTGTTACAAAGAAGTCGAGCAAATTACTAAAAATGTCAGCACAATGACTCCTTAATAAATTCTGGCCAAGAAGGAAGAGAGTGTGCAAAGACTAAGAATTCATACTTGAGTCAGATGGGCTTTATCTAACCTAATGCCCTCCAAGACTATTGGATTTCAACTCCCATCACACACTGGCAAAAGTGTTGCAAAACACAGAATTTCTACAAGGCATGAAACTGCACCCGTAGGGCCACGTCCACTATAAAGAGAAATTTTAAAGCTGTTAAAAGGCAATTACTGCTTATTTCAAAATTTCACATACCATGATAGCTATGTAGTGTCGATAGTGAAGAGGCAGTGGTCCGTCCATCTGCAACAGATAATGCTGAGTCTTTAGAAAGCTTTCCAGATACTGAGGGTGGAAAACCATCACCAAGGTAATGTTGTCCAAGTGCCCTAAAGTTGTGAAAGACTCTGCAAACAAAGCATGCATTTGGGGATCTTCAGCACTCACTTGGAGAATCTGTTTAAATTAGAAAGAGAAGAGTACCAATATTTTGTAAGAAGTAAAGACCATTCTTCACATTTGAGAACAGGTAATAACCCCAAATCAGCTTTCACACACAAATACACTACATAAATGGCTTAACCATTTCTTAAACTTGGCAAACAGTGTGGAAGACTCACAAAGTAATACTTGTTTACAGATGAGCGCCAGGCTTCCTTTAAACAGATATGAAGCGTATGTTTAGCAACTACAGCACTACCACTCACGCTAAGAGTTAATTTACCTGTTTGGATGGTGTGAAAAAAATGTCAATGGCAAAGTTGCTGTAATGTCAGCCTCATGTCCACTAGCATCTCACCAGAGCCAGTAGGTGAAGAGATCCAATGAGATTATTCCACCTCACCCTATCTCACATGCACATTCTCTATGCAGAAAAGATGCTATTTAATTGGATCAATTTAACACACTGTATATGCGTTTAGCACTCAAGGGTAAGTCAAGCTGTTCTTGAAAGAGCTGACAGCAAAGGCTAGGTTTTTAAAGGTGCTTAACACAATATTGCTGGCTGAACAGCACAATGGTTTAGGTAGCTGGCTGTGGAGCCAAAGGTTGTGAATTAGATTTCCCACTGTACTTCCTGTGAGAACAGCCAACCTGTGTAGCCATGGGCAAGCTGCATAGTTCCAGGGCACCCCCAGAAGAAGGGAACGGCAAACCACTTCTGTCTATTCTCTATCTAGAAAAGCCTCAAACGGGTTGTTGTAAGTCAGAATTGACTTGACAGCATGCAATTATTATTAACAAAACATTAACTTTTTGTGTCAGCAAAGATGTTAGTGTTTTCCAGTTTAGCAGCCTTCTGGTGAACTATCATTATGATTCACTGAGCTCATAAATGTCTGTAACACTACAGAGATCAACAGCTGTTTGTCAGCCAATGCTGGAATCTGAATTTTCACCCCCAGAAACATGAAGTAAGTTCACTGTGTACTTGCAAAACAAAAATCGCCCCACACACCTCCATTTCTGGGATGAATCTGCTTGGTCCTTGTCCCAGTGGTCTGGGGATCCTAATTCCAGATTCCTAGAAAAGAAAATGACACTATCTGAACTGTTAGCTATGAACGTTTCAGTTGTGGCTTCAGAGGGAAAAGAAAGAATTCACCATTGAAACAAACAGAACTGTCCTTGTTTCATAAGTGCAGTCTGTGGAAATTTTCTATCCATGCTTCATAACAAGCCACACTTGTTTACAGTATACCACACTGCTGCCATTAAAAACAATGAAACCTGGTTCACTGAAAACCTAGTTTTGCATAAAGTACTTGGCAGAGAGTTGAGAACAAGGAGTTCAGTACACAGCTGCCAGCAGAGTAATGTCAGCGATAACCACAGACATTTGAAGTACATCTGCACATCCGCAGACCAAAATAAAATCTTTCAGTATCTTTCAGGAAGCTACATAGTTATAAGCTTACTAAAGGTTTGAGAGGGAGATGGTGGAAGTTTTGCTCTCTAACCACAAAAATACCCTTTTAAAGTGGCTATTTAAAATGAAATAGAAGTAGCATACGTTTCTCAAGATTAAATTTATAGCCAACCCGAAACATCTCCTACAAAACTTTCACTGAAATAACTGACACATTCCAACCTGCAACTACTATTGTACAACCTGTTGACAGTGGAAATCTTTCTGTGGTAATCTCTGAGCCACAGCATACATACAAATATTAATCAACTCAGCATATGCTTTTCAAAAAATACTGTAAGAAACACTTCTTTCTTCCTTTTCTTTATATCAGAGCATTGCACAATTTAAAATTACGGATGTATATGAAATACAGGTAAAAGTAAAAACAAATTAAAATGTTAAGATAATTAAACTATTTTTGCCCAGAAGCAGGCTATTTCAATAGCTTTATCTTGTCCATTTGCTAGATATATGTACTTTTGTACACATGGTGGGTTATAAGTTGCATGCATGCAAGTGCTATGTCGATTGAATTTCTGTCACAGAAAATTTGTCCTGTATCCCAGTAGCCCCATTTTACTTGAATATTATCTATCTATCTATCTATCTATCTATCTATCTATCTATCTATCTATCTATCTATCTATCTATCTATCTATCTATCTATCTATCTATCTATCTATCTATCTATCTATCTATCTATCAGATTTTTACCCCGCCCCTCTAAACAATGTCTACTCAGGGCAGCTTACATTTGATCTTCCTACTTTACTTTAACGTCAATTAAGTGCTTTCCAGACAGTCCTGCTAGAGTCTTGCCTTGGTGGGGACATTCTTCAGCATTCAACCATTTGGCAAGGTATTTTGTTTTTGTTCTCCACAGATTTACCCTAGCCTCTTCCGGTTTGATATTTACAGTCTGAGATGTGTCAGAAAACTTTTCCTCAATTTTAGCTGTCATCAGAGGATTAGTGCCCGTGAAGTGGATGTATCTGATGCTGTATTACCTTATTTCATTATTTGCTAGCACTGCTCGAAGTACTTCTGGAGGGGCAAGACCAGCCAAATATTTTTTCTAACGGAGTAGATTTCAGGCAGCCCAGTAATAATCTTGCACAATTCATTAAGAGCTACATCCACTTGTTTGACATGTGCTGATATATATCATACAACACAAGCATATTCTGCTGTGGAGTAGCAGAGATAAAGCTGTTGTTTTTGTTGTTTGTGGGTGTGCACCCCAGTCTGACCCAGCCAGTTTCCTAAACAGTTATTTCATAGAATCATAGAACAATTAAGTTGGAAAGGGCCTATAAGGCCATCAAGTGCAACCCCCTGCTCAATGTAGGAATACAAATCAAAGAGTATCCATTGAGTTGTTGTCTGAATTTCTCTTGAATGCCTACAGTGTTGGAGTACTCACAATTTCTTGAGGTAATTTGTTCCACTGTCCTACTGCTCTAACAGTTAGGACGTTTTTCCTGATATTCAACCGAAATCTGGCTTCCTGTAACTTGAGCCCATTCTTGCATGACCTGCACTCTGAGATGACCGAGAACAGATCCTGCTCCTCCTATGTGTGACAGCCTTTCAAGTAACTTTCTGATGACAACTTTCTCTTTGGTGTTTAGACCATGTTTTTGTAGGTCAAGGTTTGATCCAAAGTGACACCAAAGTACTTTAGGGTAGGGCAGTGTTCCAAAACCTTCCCTTCCCAACTAACTCAGAACTTGTGTTATTAAAAGGATTTGTTTTCAGCTGATTGTTTTTATAATATAAGGAAAGAACTTTTAATGCAGAGGTTAGCTGATGTCTGATGGTCTCAAAGCCTTCCTCCTGGCCTGTCAAGGCAAGATCCATCAGCACAGATGACGCTCCTGGAATTTTGGTTGATCATTTGTGTAAAAGTTAAAAAGTAAAGATACTACCCTGTGGGAGACAGTACCTTTGATTTCTCCATGAAATTCAACAAAGAATATTTTGTTTTGAAGTAGAACAGCAACCACTTCTGCTAGTCCATGATCTTTAGTAAGGAGGTAGAGCCTTCTGAGAAGTAATTGATGGTGGATAGCATCATATGCCTCTATAAGGTTGGCAAATGCTGCTCTAGTTATTTTATGTATTTCAGAACCATTTTCTATATGCTGGATTAGATTTAAGATTTGAGCCATGCTTCTCTTGCAAGGTCTAAAGCTTGCCTGTTCTGGAATTTGAAGAGGTTCAATTTTAGAGGCTAGACTACTTAATATCATTCTTTGTATTAGTGGCATCATAGGGAAATTGGCCTATAGCTTTTACGGTCTGATAGTTCTTTGCTTGGTTTCAGTATAGCAATTACTTTAGTCTTCTGCCATATTTTTAAACTTTGTTTGCTCGTCCAACAGTTATTAAAGAGTTGAAGGAACAATGTCTTTGTGTTTTACCATGCAAGAAGCATTGCACTGTAAAAAGTATATATACATACTATATGAGCCACGGCCCACCATAGCTTCAAGTGGTGTGTAATAAAGCAAAGAATAACTTTTTCACAGTACAGCCATCTATAAATAGGATCCAGTTATTTCGTAAGGTGCAAAGTAGCTGCAGGTTAAATAGATTACTAAATAACTTCATTTGTTCCAGGTGCCAGTTTGCTCCACTACTTTGCATTCTTTTTCTTGTCCTTTTTGAGAACAACGTCAGAAGCAAAAACATTTTGTATTTCATGAAGGTATGCAAGCATTTTCATACATCACAAATCAGTCTCTAGCACAGATATCAGGAACTGGTATTAGAAACTAGAAAACTGTTTGCCTCTTGAGGGATACTAGCTGGGTGATTGCCAACAAAAAGCAAAAAAAAGTATGGAAAAAGTGAATGATGTAATAATGGAGCCTTTACACTTGCAGTGAGAAGGGGAAAGTAAAACTAGTTAGTAAACAAAACAAAAAACCAAACCAAACCAAACTAAGTTTGGCATGTTGCCAAGGATTTTAGGAACTTTCATTGCAAAAAGAAAAAGACATTCATTATGTATTTTTAAAATCACTGTCAAATTAGGAAAAGCCACTGATTTTACATAATCAGCTACATTATATAAATAGATTTATTAGGAAGAGATCATATTATGAAATGCAATGGTGGGGGAGATAAAAATTTAGGTTCATAGGAACACTGACAAAGCATGAATTCAAAACTACATTGAGGATTGCAGAATAGAATTTTTTACGTATGTGGAAAAGAGAAAATATATGAACAGTGGCAACTTACTGTATTCTGTGTCAGGTGGAATTAATGCATACAATTAATTCAAATAATGGGTTTTTTTCTTACCAGAATTCTGCATTTCAAAATTTTTTTAAAATGTTGAGAATAAAACATGCCTATTCAATATTTCAGTATATCTAAAGCCTACATTTATGGCTGTCTGAGAAGAAATTAACTGGAATCCTTGGCTTGTTTACTTAGATATTAGTTTCCATTGTGTTCAATGAAGCTTATACCCTATAGAATACATTTTAATGCAATCAAATAGGTAATCCATGTTCTAAATTGTTTCTATTACTCCAATTTCAAATTGCAAACTGCCCCACCTATCTTAAATATAAGTAGATTGTACACAATCAAACTTCTCATCCCACACCCAAATCACTTCAACTTCATTTTCACCACACTCCCATTTCACCTCTCTTCAGAAATCTGCTGTGAAAATAATTCACTTTTCATCACATGACACTCTTCTTTAAATCAGTACACTGGCCTTTTATTCATTTATTGATCTAGCACAACAATCTCACCCTTACTGTTAAAGCTCTCCACAGACTTGCACACCCATCTTTAAACTTTTCCTTACACCTCTACCACTGCTATTTTCAACCGTGCATCTGAATGTTTTCTGTTCTTTTTGTTTGCCATTTGCATTTTCTCCCTCAAAATATTTAATTTCATATAAAGCTTTCATAACTTGTAAGATTCCACATCAAATATGCAGTATGTAACTAAAATGAACACATTTTCTTTCCCATGTAACCCCTTTCTCCGTGTCAAATTTTAACTTGTAAGCTCCTTGAAACAAGGATGTACAGTGGGGTCTTGACTTGAGAACTTAATCCGTATTGGAAGGAGGTTCTCAAGTCAAAAAGTTCTCAAGTCAAATCTGCATTTCCCTTAGGAATGCATTGAAAACCATTTGATCCGTATCTGCTCTTTTCCGTCCATAGAAACTAATGGGAAGCTGCTATTCTGCCTTCGACCACTAGAGGGGGATATTTTGTTTCTTTTTTTTTTTCTTAGGTCAAGAAAGGTTCAGGGAAGGCAGGGAAAATACAGTCCAGGCAGTACAGTACCAGGCAGTCCGAAGACTGTCTCCCAATCCACTCTCTAAACGCTGTGAGGAGTGAGGAAGCAGACAGGCACCCTTTTCACTGGCCGTTAACTGAAAGTTCACATTTTGCACTTTCCCTGCCTCCCACGTGGTTTTTTTTCAGTTCTTAACTCAAATCTAAGTATGTAAGTTAAGTCAATATTTTCCTATGAGAGCGGTTCTTAAGTCAAAATGTTCTTAACTCGAGCCGTTCTTAAGTCAAGACCCCACTGTACTGTATCTTCTGAAAAAGAACTAGGCATGTTTAGCT